ATAAAAAAACCCCCTGTGGTAAATCTAATACACAGAAAAGTCCCCCATGGTTTCAAAATATACAACACGACCCCTCATGCTTTGAACTAAATTGTAAAGGTGACGGAATCCGTTAAACGTGACGGAATCCGTTAAACTTAACGGAAATGGACGAAATGACCAAAATGCCCTGATATAATTAAGCAAAAGACAGTTCAAAAAAATCATTTGTTTTATTCTCTAAATAGAGGGAATTGAGGGTTAAGGGGTAGAATAGGTATATTTGATAAAAATTAGGTATAAATTTTTTTTTAAGTTCCATTAAGTTTAACGGATTCCGTCACCTTTACAATTTAGTTCAAAACATGAGGTGTCGTATTGTATATTTTGAAACCATAGGGAGGCTTTTCTGTGTATTTGGCTTACCACAGGGGGCTTTTTTGTTTTTTACCCATTAAATATATACTCATGAACTTCATCTTGACTTCAAAAATAACATTATTTTCCTATAAGCATTCCTTAAAAATTAATTTTGTGTTTCAATGAAATGCTTTATACTAATGAAGTCTTTTAACCATACACTGCTACTTTGATGTGGAAGATGAAACATTATGTTTAAAGCATATCCTGTTACTTTTTTGGCAAGCCGAGTTAAGAACAGCTATATACAGACATAAGCTGATTTCAATAAATGAAAAGTTAGTGAAACATCCTACTTCTTTTGGAGGAAACAGCGCACCATCATAGGAGGTATCATAAACTAATTAGAAAATGAATACTAATTAGATTATATTGGCAAAAAATGATATGCGGATAAATTATGTGTACACACACATATTACACAGCATAAATACATCCATCTTAACACGATCTTCAGAATCCAAATTTCCTACCATTTGGAGTACTCTGTTATACAGGCAGGTAAACATGGTGTATTTGATCTTATATCACATATAATAAGGAACAAAATTAGCCATTCTAATGTAAAGAAGCAAATTAGATTTTTGTCTTATTTTACTAATTATCAAGCTGTTAGAGGATTCAATTAATATAAGACGTACAGGATGTAATTGAACAAAATATACCCCATAAATCATCCAAAATTATGTGTTTCCTTCTAATTTCAGGACCTTGCAAAAGAACATTCACTGCTTTCCGGAGAAATACTTTCACGTTACTCAATCATTTGAATATGTATCCTCAACCTCCACATCATTTGAAGATGAACATAGCAATTACAGCTTCCAGAAAATGTAAATGAGACAAAACTAGTGCAAAGTATCAATCTACGATGTCAAAACAAATAAATAAGAAAATATCTTTCTTAGTTTTTCCCCCTTTTCCCAGTTATAGAAGGTATATTCTTATCAATCTTTTCTATCTGTCTTGTGCTCGAAAACTATTTCTGAAATAGAATAATTTTTTTTTAAGTTTTTCCCAATTTTGTCTTTCTTGTATCATCCATCAATGTAAATTTACATTGGACTGAAACACAGAACTTTTTTACCCTGATTTTGGAAGCTACTTTCTATCTCCAGCCCCTGTATAATTTGTTTGCTTTCAGAAGTTCATATATAATTGATTATGAAGTCATGTTACCCATGATCACCTTCTTGTTGAAACCATCCAAATTATCCAATCATTGAATTAATGCATGCATTTCCTTCATTGCTAACTTGCAAAAATTTCAATCTCCATAGAGATAGCAGAGATCAATGGGTAACATTAATCACTATACCAACCATGTGTTTCATACTGGTAATCACACACAGTCATAAGATCCTGATTCCACCTTAAACCAGTGCAATAATTCAATCAAATCTAAACACTAAACACTTTTCACAATTATCTCTGATCTCATGTCAATATCGCCTAATCTACTTGGTCAAGGTTGGTACAAATCTCAACCACCACATGCAAGTCTGTTAATCTGCGCATTTCACATTTATGATTCTTCCCTTTTCATTAAAGGGACAAAAATTCATCTTAAACTATCCAACTACATCCTTGCCCCCATACCCCACTACTTACAATCTGAAATGCACCATGTACTATAAAACATGAATGCATACATTCTGCACCAATGATCTTATATTTTTTCTTTGAAACAGTAAAAATTAAAATCTCAAATGGATCTAGGATTCCACAATTGACATTTCCAAGACACTTCCAATTTTTTATGCACCTCTATCAAACATGTGTACAGCTGCTCATGCAGGACCTACCAACTTTTAAGGGATGTGTCAAACAATCAATCAACCATCAACCCCAGGTGCAGTTGCTAGATTTTGTATTAGCAATTGCATAGCCTATCACTCTAGTTTTACATGTCACCAATAAAAGTACCAATACCGATGCACGAAGTACAACACACAATAAGAAACATATATTCAAGAAAACAAAAAAGTTTTAAGAATTCGAAAAACGTACTCTTAAGTTCATCAAGCCAGCGAGGAATGCTTTCAAAGGTGGTCCTCCGACTAATATCATAAACCAAAAGCGCACCAAAGGCACCACGATAATAAGCAGACGTGACAGCCCGAAAGCGTTCTTGACCAGCAGTGTCCCAAATCTGAGCTTTAACTTCTTTCCCATCAATTTCAAGGCTCTGGGTCTGAAACTCCACCCCAATTGTGGCTTTAGAATGTGGGTTGAACTCGTTTCTTGCATATCTAGACAACAAGTTGGATTTTCCCACAGCTGAGTCCCCTATTATCACTATCTTGAACAGATACTCCTCCCCCTCTTCATCTGATGAATCCATGGGAAGAAGCTGTGAGCCTTGAGGGAGGGTGGGGGGATTTTTGAGAGGAGGAACTGAACAGAAAGATGTGGGATGTGGAGAAGAGGTGGCCGAGGAGACAAGGTGGAGGCAGGGACAATGACCAGTGAGGCAACAATAAATGATGATAAATAGTGATGTGTTGTGGTGTGTGCCAACGACTCTGAGTTGGTTTGTCATCAACTTGTCGGTGTTAAATGGCGTTTGACTGGTTTTTCCACGATTGAATCAACGAAGGATCAACGGTTCTTTTGGTAAAAGATAAAACAGGAAAAGATTTTCTTACCGAAAGAGAAAACAAGAGGAAAAAGGAAAGAAGGGATTACGTGCTTTTGGTTTGGAAATGTGCGCCTTTTCTTCTTATTTTTAGGATACTGAAGAGGCGCTAAAGGCGATTGACGTTGGAATTTTGGTGCGAGCGGCATCATTTGTATTTATTAGTAGATCGGATTGCAAGAGATTACACGGACGCAATAATAAAATAGGGATAATATCAGAAGCCTCCCCTAAAGTCTTTCTTAATATCACTTAGTACTTTTAAAGTTTTAAAAACATCACTTACCTCCCTTACTTTTGTTATTTGTGCAACAAAATTCATAAAAATTCCAAACTATCCTTTTGCTTATTTTGCTAAATAAAAATACTTCTAAGACACTTTATTTACTCTAAAAAAATCACCACCTAAAAAACAACGACCTGGTTTTTATAAATCTAGTGGTACAAATTTTGTCACATCTTTAATACTTGAGTTGGTGAGATGGTGTGATAAATTTTGAGCCACTAGATCTACATAAATCAGATCCATCCAAGTCTTTGCTCTTAAAAAATAATCTCTAGTTGTACCAATATACCTGGAGATCGCAAATAGGCAGGATGGACGGGATTTGAATGGGATTTAATTTTTTTTTTCTAAATGGCAAAAGCAAGTTCCATTAAATAAAACCCAAAGGTTTTATAGAAGTGAAGCCACTGCTCTTGCTATATCTGCTTGAACAGCCTCAAGTATCCAAACTGGGAAGCTAGACTTCCATTCAGTAACATTTTTTAAGTTTAAAGCAAATCTTGCTAGTTTGTGTCTAACAGTGTTGCTCTTTCTTCAATCATAGCAAATTCATTGAAGATTGCAACCAAATTTGCCACCCTGATTGTTGATTTATTCATTTGTGATGCGTATCTCCTCCGGAAGTGATCCAATTAGGCAAAGAACAATTTGAGAAATAATGCCAGTTTCCATTGATTCAATTGTTTTTTGCCCCCATTGCATTCCTTGAGGACAAATAATCTTTAAAGGGAGAAATATTGTCATAATCCAAATGTATAGATTTAATATACCAATTGCTTAGTCTTTAATATTTGAATATGTAACCATGAGGTATCTTTGTGTGTGGTTCAATTAGTAATATATTGAGGGGTCTACAAAAACTTGTAATTGGTTAGAGGGGTCTCTTAGGAATAACAGAAATCATTTTGCTATGTCTCTCAATTACTCTTTGGTTTCTCTTGTTTTTATCTTCGTCTTCCCATTCTTCCTTGTCCGTTATTGCTTCTTGATTCTGCTTCTATTTTTTCCTCTTATTTTTTCTACAAACTCTCCAATTCTTAATAATTCTCAAGAAAAATAACTAAAATCCAATTGGGATCCTAACATGCTTGTTGTCACAATTTACACCAAATGGTGCAGGAGCACTAGCCCAGCTAACTTAAAAAAAAAAAAAAAAGAAGGTAAATTACATGTAACTCTCCTGTGATTTTGCATAATGCCAGATGACCCATCTGAAGTTTCAAAATAGCCACATAACCATTTATGATTTTATGTAAAACAAAAAATGGGTAGAATGCATAATCAGGTATGGCGATTAGACTATAAGCACTCTAAAAATGTGTATGATGAAATCATAACATTCATTTAATCCTCCTATAATTTGTATAAATATCCACTTTACCTTCTGTAATTTTTGCATTTTTTTCACATAATCCCCCAATGATTTTGTACAAAACGACTAAGTCATTGTGTGATTTAACATTTAAGTAAAGATACTACTTGTATTTCAAGTAACGACATTACATAAGTTGTTTTTAGTTAAATTTTCAGTTTACATGAAACGATAGGAGGTTAAATGCGCATTTTAAAACGTTAGAAGTTATGCGTCAATACATGAAACTATGGAAGAGTTATTAACAATTTACCCTAAAAAGAATTCAAATACTTGTTTGGTTCTGGGTTTAGCTAACTTCAACATAATCAAACATCCTTAGAAAGTAGAATAGTAATGAATCCAAGTACAAAACAAATATGCTAAAATTATCATCTTTTCCCAGCTTCACATGTTCTAAATGGACAAGTAACTAGCTACTAACTAAAAGTTACAAGTTACCAAGGTGGTTCTGATTAACAATAACATAGCCTGGAAATTAAGCATCCGAAACGAAATTACAACAAAAGAGAGAACTGGTCATCACCATCTACTTGGACATTTTCGATACACTAAGAACAGAACCAAAGTATATGGTATGTACAACCGATATCGAGACACCAATGTATTGAAACATCTGAGCAGAACAAAATTGAGCTTCCAAAACCAGCTATTAGGTCATCTCTGCAAATCGGGGGGACAAAAGATCGAAAAGGATCTAAGTAGTTGTTAAGAAATCCCCTTAGAAGCATTATTTGGATTTTAGAAAGCAAAAATAACCAGACATCTTCAGCGGAACCTTGAGAGAGCCTCATTATATACAACTCTGGCAACTCTGGGTTTCATTCTGGCTCATTTGCATGGCTTGGAACTTGGGCTCCACATTGAGCCTGGCAAAGGATGCTATCCAGTCAGATATGTCTTGCATTACCAAAAAAAATCTTTCTATCAAGCTTGACTGTTCTTGCTTCAGCTCTTTCCTCCTCGACAAGAATCTTGTGGTTTTCTACAGCCACATGTGCAATTCTCAAGTTCCTTGTGGAGCCTCTGGAGAAGGTGGTGGAAGGAAAAAAAATTCAGATTCTGAATGGAGGGCAAACACATTTAGCTATTTAATGGTAATCCAAAATGGTCATCAGAACTTCATTTAAGTTAAATTAAGCTAGCACCAGCCACGGTTAACCTATTACCAGACTGGCAACTATGCACGGTAGACCACATTAGACGAGCAAATTGCCGATTACAATTGCATCAGTTGGAACTTTGCTATGAACCATGCATGCTGCAGTCTAAACGAATTTTTGTGCTATACAGGAGATATAAGCATTTTACACAAATCAAATCTGCTAAAACATGTCATGCCAGTTTCTTCCTTTCATGTTGAACACACAAAGCACTCTAGTTTAACATAGAATTTGATGTGGAATTCAAAAGACAGAAGGGCTTCAGTAAAGTAACATTTAAAAAGATCTTTCCAAGTGATGTGCTTAATTGTATCTCCTCCTTGAATTCAACTTGAATCTATATGCAGGAGTCATGCAAGATAAGGGCAGAAAGCTTTTCTGTACTCCGTATACATGCCTGCTTATTTTATTTAGTTTTCTTCTTTAGAATTCTTTTGTCAGAGTTTCTATTCATTAATTAAGATTCAATTCTTTGTTAATTGCCTCAAAAACTTTCTTCATGCCTTGAGCATACCCAAAGAGAAGGAAGAGTCCTATATACTGAATGACCAGTAATAATTTTAGTAATTCATCAATGCTGGTCATGTTTCAAGTGTCGAAACTCCTGTCATAATTTTGACATTGACTAAAGGAAAATGTTGTTTATTTATCACCATCTGAAACTCACAAGCAAGTACATACCGAAGATGCCAGCATACGTGTAAGTTATGCAGGTGCAACTACATAAATCATCAACTAGAAGCATGTAAGCGTTGGAACCAATCTCCAGTGTTCTTTCTTGAAAAGCTCACGGTCTATGAACTTTCTTTTTTGCCTTTCAGATTGAAGAAGAAACATAGCAAAAGGGAAAAGATAATGAAGAGTTGTACAAGTACTCACCTGAACCTGATTCTGAAGGCCTTTGATATGTTGCACCGCCAAATCCAGCATATCAGCATAGCTAGTTTGCTGAAGAAAAAAAAATATTATGTTAGAACAGGTAAAAAATGAATCTGACTGTGTATAGGTTTCAACTGGATAACCACTAAAATGACAATCTGATCTTCAGATGAGACCAGTCTAGTTTAAGCCATAGGATCTAAATCAGTCAAGTTCAGATGATAAACTTTACATAGTTAAAAGCAAAGAGATTAAGAAAGGAAAAGCAAAAATAGAGCGGGATCTGAGGTGTATAAACTAGTTTGCAGAGTTGTCTAACAATTAAGCTTCTAATCATCCCATTCTGCAGCATTAAGGCAGCAGCTAGCATGAAAAAAAAGTAAGCAATTTTTTACTCTTAAAGATGCTGCCTCATTAACAAAGAAAAGGACAGATATTAGAAGACTTTTACTTTCAAAGAATGTACACAAGCTTAAGGTTAGGTAGTGGCAGGCTTCTCCTTGTCTAAACTTTTTCTTCCTAAGAGTGGAATGAAATGGCTAATGATATAGCTGATTTTCTTTTCAATTATAGTCTCTTTTATTTGCTTCCTCAAATTGTTTCTCAGTTTTCCTTCCTTATCTTCAATTACGATAATCCTTGCATTGATTTGTCCAAATGAATTTCAAAGAGATGAATATCAGGAGGCTTAGAACATGGCTGCCAAGTCTATAGATGAACTAGAGAGAATAAGATTCCATAGATAAAGTATGGTGATGCAACAAAGCCAATAAAATCAACTGCAAAACAACAGACTATCTATAGGTTTAGGATGAAAAGATAGTTTAGTATGGCCCAGGACCATACAACCTAGGATACCAAATACCAACCAATTGAACTTTCAGTCAAAACTGAATGCCACATGTTAACTTGAGTTCAGAAACTGAATGCTTTGAAGCATGTTGACGAGACTTTCCTTCTTCTTTCAAGTAAATAGACTTATTAGAGCAAGATGCCTTTTATGCTCTTAAAGGCATCACTGCAAGCAACCACATGCTCTGGAAAAGATTCCTTCACTATGTCACAAGACCACAGCAATATTACAACACATGCTTTATTACCCAAAGGAGGATTCGTATGTGCTCATCCAAAAACTACATCCAGGTAACATTTTTAGAAAAGGTATTATGAATTTAACAAGCACACTGACGTAAAACTTTATTACTAGCTTTCTCAGAGGAATATGTAGCAAAAATAATTTTATTGTAAATGAGCACCCCTTTTAATAACAGGGAAGTTAAATATACCACTACTCAAAGCAACTACTCTCTTCTTCGCAATGGATATGGCTGATTACTTTATCCACAGAGCTAAGAATGATGAAAAGGAAAAGTGACACTGTTGACCGAACTAGTTCACTTTCATTTTAAACGGTGAGATAAGCAAGGGCAGCTATTAACATTCTGGTCCACAAATATGGGAAGGTACTGTACTACCAGATTGATCATATGATGTACATCTCTTTAAATGGACTTCAAAAGTTTCACTTTGCATAGTTTTGAAAATGTTCTCTTCATATGGCTTGGTGTCATTGCCAAAGCTCAAATTTTAAGGCCTCGGAAAAGTTTGTTAAAACACCAAAATTATCTCTGCAACCTAACTCAAACAAAATCATCAATTGAGGTGAGAGGTTGACATAAGATTTTGGTTGTCGCATTATCAGTTGGCCCTTCATATAGGACACATGCTACACACTAGGACATCATACTGAGGCTGCTCTGGACTATCTTGCTTAATCTTTACGTAGACCAGGTCTACCATAGACCATGCATTAAAGGCTTGTATCATCATGTATTAAGTATTTGTACCTTTCTGAAGTGTTGCACTTCATTATGGAGTTCAAAATATGACTTTCACAATAAATCAGATCTACCTAAGGAGTTCAATATATAACTTTCAGTCTTCTACACATCTTATTTTGCCTTATTTGCCACCTGATACTTGTCACATGCCTTCAGCTCTTGCTGAGTCTTGCATACCAGATACAACATTTAAGAGAGTATACAAGTAATTTTGGTTACATATAAGCGGAACATTTTGAAATGCTATTCATACTGTTCTGCGGGTTGCAGTTGAAATTTTTGCAGTATCAAAATTGTTGGAAAGATTAACCAAGCCTATAAGATATTAGTAAAGTTATCATTGTTAGTTTATTACGTTCTCTGAAAAGGAAAAAAAGAAAAGAGGTGATTATTGTTTTGTTCTTTAGTTCTATATTGAGTTGTATTAGAACTCTAAAAATTGAAGCTTTAAACTCAAATATATAAACCTAAATCAATAGGAAAAAAAGGCGTGGTATATTACCTTGTCCATATTAGGAACAAGATCTTGTAACTTCTTCAACTTCCCACTTATTCTCGTTCTCCTCTCCTGCACATAGGTAGAAAAATACTACTTAGGGTAATAGCATTACATCATAGCAACCATGGCCAATTTGTCATTACATTTTTATCTATCAAGCTCCATGATGAAAAATTTTACCCATAGATATATGATTACCAGAGTAACAAGGAAATTACTGAGAGACATGGCAGAAAAAACTACAAACTCTATGAAAACGTCCATGTAACTAGCTACAATTAGATGAGTTGGAAGAGATTAGCTGAACTGCAAGAATAAAAGATAGACTAAGGACAATGGACTTTAACTGGAGGTGCTGTGCAGTTAAACCTCATTGAAATCAAATTGAAAAGGGAAAGGACCCTCATGTTACAAATGCATATAGTTAACATTAAGACCTCATAATAAAATACAAGAAAACTATTTTTTTTTTTAATGTTTCGAATAAAAGAAGACTCTAAATATCTTATTTTATCAAAACCTTATTTATGAAACCGTAGGTCAAATTCTAAAGCTCACCCTTTCTGCAATGCTGCGGGGATGAGTAGCACAACCACGCTTTGCACGAATTTTACAAGGCACAGAATCTTGAGGGATGTTGAGCAACTTATCCATGGAGCTCATATCCAGCATTGTCTGAGGCATGCTAAACTGAAACTAAAAGCCCAATTAGGTTAAAGAAGGAGAGAGTTAACTTGTCAACAACTTATGGAATTAAGAACATATAATTGGAGAAAGTCAGAAAGTTGACAAAGGACTCTCTATAGCAGTAGCTGAATACAGCTCATTGAAAAAATGAATCAGAATACAGGAGCATACTCCTTCAACTTACGGAATAAAATGTCAATTAATGGTTCATCAATTTTCTTTAATACTACGTTCTTAACATACTAACAAAATGTTTGGTAGAACCAGTTTTCTTTTTACTTTTTCAGATTTTGAGTAAGATCTAGGATTTATTGTCCTTCTTGTTCCTTTTCTTTAGGCGCAGCGGTAGGAATGGGTGGGGAGAAGGGTGAATGCCGTAAAACAAGTCTAGATACCTTTATTCACCAGGCATTCATGTGACGCAGAGAGATATTTGATTTCACATAGAAGGATGTTAGCAGAGAAGTGATGATCTCTAATTAACAGAATGCTTAGATTGTCCTTCTCATGAAAATTGCTTCACAAGCTGCTCAACAGATATGTTTAGTACCTGAGTTTCCATGCTGTTCAGATTGACAATGTCACCGCTCATGTTCTTAGCTCTTTTGCTTGTTGGCCCCATCGAAAACATTATCGTATTGGCATCTTCCCAAGGACCTACTCCATAACTTACATTGCTGTAAGTATGAGCCGATTTTCTTTTCTCATTCTCTGCATTGAGGCCATTATCAACATTCTCAGTCTCTTCAGAGATCTGGGAAAGAGTTTCTTGATGCGTAAAGCTCAGCTGAGAGTTCAATCTTGAGATATCATGGGTCCTAGCAATCGGAAAACCTAGTTTCATACCAAAGTTCAATATTTTAGAGTCGAGGATTCCGAAAGAACTGGAATATTAACTTTTGATGCTAAACCAGCGATTAGTACTTCACATTGTGTTTTATGTGCTAATCTGATAAACAGAATGATAGCACTACACTTTTCATACATCATAACATCGACATTTTTTAATTAAACTCCTAAAGAATGAGACCATTAGGTGCATGGGCGGGTATTTGCCGTGAATGAACAAAATCACATCTTCAAGTTGCTTGAACATATTAATCTAGAACATGTACAACTACAAATGACTATCAAACATTCCATTTGGTATTCAAAGCAAAAGTATTAGCTTGATTTTTACATGAGGTTGGATAGATATCCAAAGCTTCATGGATCGCAAAGTTTACATAAGCTTAAAACAATCTTCTACTTTGTGCATTATGAAAAAGATTCATGTCTGTTTCCTTAACATGCCTATTCTAGCTTTTTAGTTTTCTAATAATAATAATGCCATTTTTATTCCTGCATTACATATTATTAAACCTATGATAATATCTTCTTGGTTTTTTGTTGGAAAGTACAAATAAATGTCAGTAGGAAGACTATGGGACAAAAGAAGCCTGCTATGGTAGAGTTATTAGGTGCCCTATTAGCAGATATGTTGGGGCAAATATTTATCAACCAAAGTGATTATCACAGCTCTCATTAGTTGCTTGGAATCTTGGGACCTCTGAGAGGTTGAAGCTGCCTCTGGAGGTAATGAAAGTACCTTAAATTTGGATCAGAAACAACATTTTCTTGTGACTGAATATTGTGATAGCTAAAATGATTGTTGGATCTTCTGAGGATTGAAATTTTTTTCCAAAAAGTTTTTCGTTGCATCATAAATACATTTCTTAATCACCTTTCTGTTTTTCTTCCAGTCATCTTTCAATCTCACATAAATTATATTCCAAAAGGTGCTACAATATTATTCTCAAAAAAAAAATTCCAAATTATCTTCAATCCGAACAAACCCGCAGACGTTACATCGGAGAGATCACTAACATTTTTTTTCTTTTATAAAAAAAACCACATAAGAAATAATAAGGCACATCCACACAGGTCTTTTGTCATTTCAAAACCAGTCTAATTTGGTATAAACAAGAAAAACAGTAGTCCTGGGGAATTGGGCATGGGAAAAAAACAGTAATTTCATTTTTCAAAACAAAAAAAAATTCACATATTCGAAGGTTGCAAAAACATGATTAGCATAATTCTATATCAAGTCTCAAAATTTCATGGTCCATATCTAGTCATTATCAATTCAACGGCCCGCTTGTCTATTTTAAAATTAAAAAGGAAAAGGTCTTCTAATTGTATGCAGCTCGATCGAGAAGGTTTCTGATAAGGCACATATCGAAGCACGAATTTTGGTTTTCTTTTTTCTTTCTGATAATTGAGGATTATTTAGGGATGGATCCAAATTCTCTGCAATCAAAGTCTTGATGCCACAAAACAGTTCACGGTGAAAGATTGATATATTTGAATTTGGATGGAAGGACTGAATTTTAAATATAAATTTTAATAAGTGAAAAAAAAAGTTATTATATATGTTTTAACATATTTTTGTTTTAATATTTACATTTGTTATATTAGCGTATGTATTTGTTCAGTCAGTATTTACACTACACGATATAATTCATTATAGAAGCCCTTGATCCGATATAGCCTTGAAATCCATTCAGGACCTAATTCCAGAGTGTTTTTGCACGATACATCCTCTTAAGTTGTACTTTTGTTGACTGATGAACTCCACAGTTAGTTCCAAGTTCCAACCAAACTTGTGTGTTTTTTTTTCAATTAACGATGGATCTGGAGCCTCACAATTTGTGTTTCGTACAATTTCGCACAAGTTGACCTCTGACATAAATTAGCATGATTTCGGTGTGAATCAAGTCTAGTTTGATGTAAATCAGGTAATTTGTTATTATTTGATGTAAATCAGGTACACTTTGATATATAAATTGAGGACAATTTGGTGAAAATCAAGAGCAAACTGTTAATTTACACCAACGTGTGTGAGATGTAACTTGTGAGGGCCCATTTCCATTAATGATCTCTATAGCTTCAAAACCATTGGCTGCTGCTTTTGCTTTTGGCACAAGTAGTAGATTTTTTTTTATTATTATTAACAATTATTAGAGTAATCAGGATAAACCAATGGTTGAACTTGAAGGAACATTTGAAGCTTAGGCATGTGACATCCACCAGCTTACTAGATAGGTTTTGTCTGCTGATTCAAGGAATCTGGCCACCACTGGTCTTCTTCTAAAGTAAACTAATGGGATATATCCTTCCAAGGAGAGCTAAAATTGTAGTTAAGAGTATTAAATTGTCAACTTGCTTCTTCTACAAGTGGGAATAATGAAATATTCCACTCAGCCAAGTTGAAGACTTCAATACATTAATGATGTGTATAAAGTCATAGTCTAGCCAGAAGAATATGAATATGACGGCACCCAAATATGGGAAATGTAAATGTAATTTTTTTATATATTTTTTTATTTTCATACTAATAAAAGAAATAATTTCCACAAATGCTTTTGTCACAAATTGAATTGACCTAGCAGTATACCCGCAAGTTTTGTAAGGGATAAAAAAAAATATGTGGTATACTTTTGTTGACTATTATTTTTCTTTTTGATTAAATAATTAAGAGATTTTCTCTTTTTATTCAATATACACCAAAATTAGAGTGTAAAGAGTCTTAAGAGCGTTGTACAATGATTAATTTGAATTTCAATTATTAGTGTATACATTTTTTTATTTTAATACAGAGTGAGATAAAAAAAAAGTACAAAATTGTACTAATATTAGGTAATTAAATCATCCCAAAAAGTGAAATCCTTGCCCAATAAAAATCTAAAGATTGATTGGGAGAATAATTAATTATGGCGGCTCGAGAACAAAAAGAAAACTTTAGGAACCTAATTCCATGACTAGATGTGACATACAACTAGATTGGCCTCTAAAATTCATAGCCATATAAATGATAAATTAGAAAAACTTTTGCTCTCAGATCATTTGACGGCCCAAAAAAAAAAATAGAATAATTCACATATATAGGAAGAACTAAAAAATTGAAAAAAAAATTAACATCTCTATCTTTGGAAGTCAATGCCCCTAGCCCTAGGGCTTAGGGCTATCTATAGAAGGAAAAAAAAAAGAGTGAGATTCTTTTTCTTTTTTTTTTTTCAAGCACAGGATATTTTATTCTTCAAGATAGATATTCTTAATTTATCAGCGTGGTTTTTTGGCTAAACAATGGGCGCTTCAAACCTAGGGTGCCTATTAATTGGCCCCCATGCCGGCTCCATTCCCGGTTGGAGAGAGTGAGACAGGAGAGGGCCTACCCAATCTTCTTAAACTTCCGATTTTGCCCATTGATGATTCAGATTATCATTATAAATTCCAATGACTTGACCGTTCATATTTTAGGGGTTAATACACTTAGAGTTAATTTTATATATACTAAAATTGTATATATTGTTACACTTAGATGTATGATATATGTATAAAATTTAGATTTTAAATATAAATTTAAATTAATTTTTATACGTCTAACGTGTCAAAGTATAGAAAATTAGAAACTGAATGCTCAACAAGACGTGCATTTTGCATGTTATGACAGTGTTCCTCATGCTTTGAGAAGTCTAGTGGATGCAGATCTTAAGGGAATTTGCTTCCCTCGTTTTGTACCTATAACTTAAGTTTTTTCAATATATGGTCCCTTTTATTACCCAAAAAAAATAAATAGAAAATTAATCCATACTTTTAATACTGTCAATAAATATTGCAATTTCCACTCATAAGAAATCAAAATGAATTTGACTTAGATTGGCACTTTCGTCAACTTTATTGTACATACAAAATTTATCTTTATGAGATAACTAGATACCTTAGGTTTAACACGTTTGCCCTTTTCTTCAATGTTTAGTTAATTATTTAGGTGTCTAATGGCTAATTATGAAGCTATCTACACATGTGTAACCTACAAAAGTGATAAATTTCAAGTTGTAATTTTGTTTTCTAAAAATCATGAGTTGTAGTAGAAATGTAGGATCCACTGCCAGCTTATGTCAAGTAAATATTTTACTTAAAAAGTGAAACGTTGATAGCTCATCCCTATGTAAGACATGACGTGAGTCCAGTACTTTATTGAAAAGTCAAGGTCTTGTTTGAATTGTCATTTTTTATAAAATATTTTTCTATTTTCATAATTATTCCTTTCATATAGTTCTCGATCACATTTTTATGTCATACATATCATATTCTAAAAAAATACTGTAATAATTTTTCCTTAAAAACTCTTTAAAATACAAAACAAACAGCCTCTAAATGTTCACAGAACACTACTTCCAATTTGACATTAAACTTCGGATTTGCAGAAAATGCCTATTATACTTCAATTAAAGTTCAAACCCAATTAAACAACATCAAACATCAATGACCTTTCAATATGAAATCCAATAATCATAAAGCCAGAATTCTAGAAATCCATCCTATTTCACCACTTTATGAAGCCAATTGAACTTCTTCCTAAGCTATAAAATACCAAACAGCTTGTAACAATACAACTAAAAAAGAAAAAGAAAAAGAAAACTTAAGGAGTCAAGTTACGGATTTTACCAAAATGCCTAGCAAACCGGAATACACACACAAAAAAAAAAAAAAAAAAGGAATAGAGTAAAATGTAGGTTGAAACCTTCATTGACTTTTAATGTTTTAACCCAGAGCTAGGTTTCAGACTAGTAGAACCGTAGAAGAAACATTTATTAAGGTCAACAATTTTGGAGAAACAGAAACATACAAAAAAACAAGAAACAAAGAACAGGAAAAGAGCACTTAACCCCCGATAAGAAAAAGAAAGATGAAAAGGCAAACCAAAAAAGAGAAAGGAAACACCTAAAATAAGAGGGTGTCATCCTGGAACCAAATTAAAAATGCATCATTTAGCCGTACATAAACCAATGACAAGGGAGAAATTACTACTAAATTACGTGTAAGTAGAATAAGTGCCTCCTAATTACTAGTACTCTATCAATTAAACGACAAAAGTCTCTAGCCTTTATTTATGCAATTATACTAACTTCCTTTTAGATCTTATATTATCAATTGTATTAAGAACTTAACAATCACCTCGATAGAATTATTATTAGATAAAGAATTTATCTAATGGGCACTCGATGAACACTAGCTATTAGAGAATTCATGTTGAAAACGTACACTAAATCTTAGGGAGGAAAAAAAGAGAAACTTACATTTGATAATAACAATAAATTTGAGAGTGTGGTAAATGACAAATTGAATATTGATTAGACGTACTAACTCGTAACTTTGAGCACCTGTTAAAAAAATCTTGAAAGAAAAGTTGAAAAGGTCACCATAATTTACTAGTACTATATCTAAAATCCATACTAGCAAACAATAATGCAAGGGTAGAACAGAAATTTCATTCAAACAAGAAAAAGAAAATATTATTCTCTCCAAAATCCACCAAACAAAAAATGCCAAAAATCAGACAAGAATCAAGAAAATGAACGTACCATTATCTTCATTGGAAGCACAAGCATGAGTAAGATGATTAAGGAAACCAGGAGGTGAGCTGCTATGACGAACCAAAGGCGAAGCAGTTGTAGCAGTAGAAGAAGAAGATGAAGATACCATACCCGCACCTCCAGCACCACCACCAATGGACCCTTGATGATTATCTTGTTTGAAACCAAAAGCTCTATGCAGACCACTGCTGATATTTGGACCCTTTTCTCTGGGATTGCTGTTGGATGTTTTGCAGGTGGATTCAGAAGTGAGGGATGATGTTTCTGAAGAAGGGAAGAATCTTGATGAAGATGATGATGTAGGGCCTATGTGGAGGTTGTGGGAGGATCCAAGGGCTGAGAGTTCACGTGAGCTGGGATTTGTAACTGAATCAACGGTTGTAGCCAGGAGGGAACTTGGAGCTGAGCCGTACCGGATAAGCCCACCTGTGTTGCTCCCTCCATTTGGACCCAGCGAACCTTGTGATGATGAAGAAGTTGATGATGGATACATGGCTTTTTTTTTTCTTTTTTTAGATGAAAAATGATGGACAAAGTAAAGCTTTTTGCTGTGAAACAGAGGGGGAGGAGGAGGGAAAAAGAGAGAAGAAACAAGTGTTTTATTTTTTTTTTCTAATTTTTTCTTTTTGATATATAGTTCATTTTTTAATAGAGGTGTGTGGGGTGCTAGTTGCAGGTTGCAACTTGGTGAGGAAAGATCTAAGCAAGCTTTTGTACTGCCAATGGTTTGTAGTGGTGTTTAAGGTTTGCAGTTTGGACCCCATTTGGCAAATAGTGGTCTTGTCTTTTCTTTGTAAATCTCAAATTTCTCCTTGCAGAAAATGATATTCAACCCTTTGCCCTAAAGCTTTACTTGCATCAATTTGTCCCCTCTTTAAGATTTTAACTGGGAAACCTTTATGAAGATGATTATATGAACTGGCTGACAAACAAACAGTTGTCATTTTGGAAATCAACAATGATTTTCAATTTCATGTTCTAGTAGGATGTAATGTAATACAAAGTCAATTTAATGATCATTATTTAAACTTTCACAAGAAAGTAAATGAATGTATCAGTTTTGAAACCATATATATTTATAATAATCACAAAAACATTTTTGAAACCGTATTCACAGATAAGAGCTGCCTTTGATTGATGCAGAGATTGTATCATGTCACTAATATATACATATGCACAATCATCCTAAACCATCCAATTCAAGATTTCAATAAAAATTATGCAAGATTTAAAAAAGCATTAATCTTGTATGCACTGAGATATGTACATAAATAAGTACGATTGTATGTCATCTAGTTCTGAATCGTATTTGAATTTCAATTATTGCATATGTAGTGTGCATCTATACTCAATCATGTATATACCGTAAGTGTATATAAGATTAACTCTTTAAAAAATTGAAAACTGTAAGAGACATAGATGCTATTGAACAAATCAAAGGCAGAGTGATACTCTATGATTTACAGGGCTAACTGGTATTTTCATTAATCTTTTCATGTCATTTGGTTTCGTCTATATACCATTAGTTTTTGCTTGGTTTTGGAAATTGAAGGAAAGAAACCGTGGTGGGAAATGGGAATTATTATTGTCAGTCAAAGGCGACTTGATAAACAAAGTCAATAACAATCCACATTATTAGTCTTAATCAATTTTAACCAATACCTGGGTGAGGGTACTTGGATCTTATGATTGTCATGAAATATGGTCATTTTACTGGTAGAAAGTATTATTTTCCGACATTTTGACGGCCTTATTATGGCTTGATTTGTGGTTGTTGACGTCCAGTATCATTACCTTTTTGCATCTAAATTACTTAATCAGCTAGTGTCTAAATTTTCACGGGACGGCCATTTGAGTTTTTGAAATATGTTTGTACCAAATGGATGATGATGATGATGATGATTATTATTATTATTATTATTATAAAAACGTGTAAGATGGTGGTGACTATCACATCAACCCACAATTTAGCTTCTAAATAAGCATTTATTAAGTTGGTTGGGATTGAAGCCTTAATTGAAAGGGCTATAGTTTGCATCTTACTCCCTTTGTCTCACTTTCATAGTTATGTTTTCCTTTTTCACCCATTCCAAAATATAATCCATCTTATAATTGAAAAATATAATTAATTTTTAATTTTTCTAAAATACCTTATATAATATACTTTATTATCAATAAATATAACCTATCGTATTTAATATAGTTAACATTTTTACCAATAATTACTTTAATATATGTCTTGAATGGTATAATATACCATCATTATTGTTGTTTTAATTAAATGTAAAGATATAAACCCATGAGCTTGAGGTAGCTTATAAGCAGGTTGCTAATGCCAACAAGGAGTTTGTAAGTTCAACTCTTGCATGTGATGCCTTGAAAAGTTCTAGGTCATGCCTTTATTCCCGAATAAAAGTTGAACTTTGCTGGCGCTTCCTAGGTCGCAAGTTCGTCTCTTGCATGTGATACCTTAAAAAGTTTTGGGTCAGACCTTCACTTCTAAATAAGAGTCGAACTCTGCAAGCGCTCTTCAAACTGAATCCAAATTAGCCTCACTAAGGGTGGGGATACCGGGTGCTCAAAGCAAAAAAAAAAATGTAAAGATATAGTGATTAGTGATACTACTAATATTAATGAAAAGATATTTTAGAAAAATATTAGGCTAGATTTATTTTTGCAACAAGGTTAACTAATTTTACTTAAATTATGTAAAACTAAAAACTAAAACTATCAAAATGGGATGAAAAGAGTAATATCAAGCAAAAGGACCTAGAAAATCAATGAACATCTATAGTTTGTAGTTCACGCAATTTTTGAGCATGGAACGTGAAAATCAAGAGCATACATAGTCTTGTGTAATTTAGGATTAGTTGACACTTAGCTTATCAAGTAGTAGAAACATAATGATGGATCAGCCCAAAGACAGAATCTAAATCATTCTAATGGATTGTTAGCTAAATTTAAAAGAAATGCACTTACCTACAAGGCTACAAGTTCATTAAAATATGGCCATTAAGTCATGGTTATTTTGATAGAATCAACCAAACTTATCTTGTGTTCTTTATCAAATTAAGGTTGAAAATTTTGGGTTTCTATTTTGTAGTCCTAAAAAGTATGTAATGAAGATCTTCAATCTCTCCTCAATACTTAGAACTAATAAACTTATCATTGGGCTTGATGTTATCATGCATAGATCCGTTAAATTTATTCTCTATTTACATTTGCAATTAGTTTTCAGAAAAATTCTTAAAAGACGTACTCTTACAATCATTTTATTGGATACATCTATAAAGTCCAATACTTTGACATTGTCCTTAACAGATGATGATGATAGTAGTGGTGGTGGTGATAAATAAATAATGCTCTAAAGGTGTCTTTTTGTGTTCAAAGAGATCAGTCTTCTGATGCTGAAAGCATACTATAAAACTTTCATGAACAATTAACCATGCTTGGACTTATCTATTTCTTCTTCTAACTTCTCTATGATCATATCTTTCTCCACAATAATGTCCATAAGTCTTGCATTTTCATGCTTGAGTGCCTCAAATTGGCAAACAATCAGCTCAATCTGTGCTTCAATGGCCTCATCACTAAGCTCAAATGCACTCTCCACAACCCTCAAAACCCTCCACAAACTCACCACCACAACCAATCCTCCGCCTTTTCTCTCCAAAAATGCTTCCAAAATCAGAGCCACCATCACAACAATACAATCAAGAACATAACCAGGCCTTAGAATAAATGACCTTCCTAGCCCCACAAAAAGAGCCAGACTTTTCACACATAGCAAACTCAAAATTGCAATACCTACCCAATGAAACCAAACTTCTTCTGCTTCAAAATTCTTCTTTTTTGGGCATGAAAGAAAAGACGAAGAAAGTTCAAGACTAGTCAATATGAGATCTATCACAAGTAAAAAAATTGTAAAAATTCGAAGGTAAGTTGATTCTAGGAAATTAGACAAATGGGCTCTCCATGAAGATCTTGATACTTCTTGCTTTTCTCCATTCTTGACGAAAATTCGCCTTTTTTGTCGTCTATTCCAGCTTTTGATGAGGTTTTGTAGCGAAATTTCGATGTTTCGAACTTGTGAGTCTGAACTCATAGATGATTTTTGGTGCAATACTTGACAGAATGATAAGCATTTTTAAATGAAAAAAGCAAAGTAGTTGTTAGGAAAAGGCATGTCAAACGTAACAGTTATAGTTTTGTTGTGCTTTAAGGTCACGTTGAGAAGCAGAGTTCAGTTATTTGATGTCGCAATTCGGACATGCTTCAAGATTCCTCATGCAGCGCAGTAAAACTCCCAGGTTTTCATTAGATGCTTTAGCTTCAAATAAAATCTTTGTAATTCTAATTCACGCTTGCGATGCCAAAAGACTTGCGGTATTAGTATTAAGGACTTAAATATGTATGAATTTTGTGTGAATTTAGGATGAAATGGACTTTTTTCTTTTTTTTCAGCAGGAAAAGAGTGAGATTTAAGAATAGGGGGGAAAGGAGAACTAGAAGAAATGGATTTAATTTAGCTTTAGAATTCCTAGTTCTTTGATTTTGTATTGGTAGGAAACTGCATGAGTTAGTCACACCTTGTTGTGGGCGGAATTATTGAAGGCAAAAAAGACCTAAAAAGTGCATAATGAGCAAAAATCCACACAAAGCCTAATTTTCTTTAGTAACATATTTCAAAATAAATCAAATTCTAAACTTTTGTCGTTAGTACTTAAAACTTCGCCCACCTATCAGCCAATGTTTCCCTAATTTACTCACTTAGTTAACATCACAAGAATGAAGGAATTATTTTGCTATTACTCTTTTGTATTTTTATTATTTTGCTATTACTCTTTTGTACTTTTTCTTACATTTTAGTATTTATTCTTGGCACTTAGAAGAGCATTTTAGCAAAGGATATCTGAAGAATGAAACCATTTTTAGTAGTTTCTACCAAACGGCAGCTCAAAAAGAACATTCAAAGAAGATGTGATTCATCGATTCCTCCATACCACTGCACAACACACATTCAACATTACCACTTAATCTTCACCACTTTTTCATTCTATCCTTGGTATGTAGTCTGTTCTTGCATAACAACCAGAGGATAAATGAGAATCTTGGAATGAACCCCTTATTCCATACAAGTCTGTGCCAAGAGACTTCTTGTGAAGTGAGCCTAAGAACCTTCAAAGCAGACTGTGCACTGTATGTGCCAGAATTACTTCGAAACGGGTTAATTCCACTTTGTCCTCCCAAACTTTGGATGATTATCCACTTCAGTCTCTAAACTTCAAAATGGGACACTTAAGTGTCTAAACTTATAAATAACTCCCACTTAAATCCCTAAACTTATAAAATGGGACACTTAAATTCCTAAACCTTATAAAATGGGACACTTCGACCACCAATAACATTTAGTATTTGTTAACAATTTTCCTTAAGTGGGAGGTATTTATAAGTTTAGGAACTTAAATGTCCCATTTTGAAATTTAAGGACTGAAATGGGTAATCGTCCAAAGTTTGGGGGGACAAAGTGGTATTAACCCCTTGGGAACCAAATCGTAGTATCTCCTACATGGCCATCTCCATTCAACACCTTGCATACACTTAGCAACAAGGTCATATCTAGTTAATCCAAGACTTGACAGTAGAGGCACAGCAAAATTCTGGTATAGTGGCCCAACAGGATGCCATTGTTCATAGCCATTACCTATCACCTGCTTGATATGATGTTGGGCTTTGGGCCTTAGTTTAAGGATTTTCCTCTAGATCCAAGAACAGTCGAATGGTATTTTGGCAC